TCATATTTAGCATTCTGTATGTGCTCAACTATGGTAGAGAGAGCAGTGATATTTAACTTACCAGGGGTGAAACCATGCTGGTGCGAACTAAGGTGGTTTTTAGTTCTAAGATGACAAAGGATCCTACTGTTTATCAGCCTGTCAAGGACCTTCCCCAGGATGGGAAGGGGGCTGATAGGTCTGTAGTCCTTAGGATGAGTGGGGGTGTCACCCGGGTGCTTACTGATGAATTTAACCGAAGCAATTTTCCATTGGTATGGGAAATAACCCAGCAAGAGGCAGTGGTTAAACATAGTGACAAAAGTAGTTGGGATAGCAGCGTAGGCTTCCCTTACCATTTTCCCTGTGATTTGATCAATTCCTGGTGCCTTTTTGATTTTGACAAGATTAACTGCATGGGCAACTTCATTAAAAGTGAATGGTGGATCCTCCCGCTTGTCAGGCGGGTCTCTGAAGCCTGAGTGAGTATTGCGGTGAAATTCACTATCTGTGTCTTCAGTGTCTTCAGGGAAATGGTAGCTGAAAAGCTCTCTCATAGTTTCTGGAAGAGTATTCGTGAAGGTGCCATCACTCATTATGACTGCCGTGGGGGTATTTGCCTTACCCTTTTTCTTAAAGGCTATATAGTAAAGCTCACACCAGGGTGTGTTGAAGCTGCTGCAGAAGTTTCTCCACGCCTGGTGGTGCTTATGGTTGATCAGAGTTTTGTAAGAGTTTAATTTTTCGATGTAGCGGGCATGTCAGTCTGTCGGCGGTACAGCTTACGAAGCTTTTGAACTTCCAGGTGATGGCTGATGCTCCCTGGTAAAGAATAATGTCATAAGTTTGTCCACTCTTACCACATAGCATATACAATTTTATTCCCCATGGAGTTGGCTTATTCTTTACATACTGCTTCCTGTAAATGGGATCATTGCCTCATCAACTGCTAGCTGTTACTGCACAGGTAACTCCAAACATCTGATGTGTAGAGCAGTGTATATAGGCTGAACTTATAGAATTTGTCTTTATTATCTGCCGGAATTCTTGTGTTGTCTACAAGATGCAAATTTGTTCTCAGTTGAAAGAATTTGTCTCTACTCATACTGTCCAAGAATAATTGCATATTCATTGATGTGTCCCAATACATTTGAACTTTAGGAAATTTTAACATTTCCATAATTATATGAAGCCCAAACAATGTTTTAGTGCTGCAGCTGTGGTTGATCTAAAATTTCTAGTTATTTTGCTTTGTAATGCATATATATTTGTCAATTCAGCCATTGTATCAAAGAGGTTATTTGGAATATACTTGCCAAAATATGTCGAAGGAACCAATAATTCTTTGTCTAAGTCATTGGTTCCCATTCAGAATAAAAATTTCTCACTGAAATTGAGTGATGACGCCACTTGATATTTTTTTTGTAGTTAGGGAGTATTTTATTACGTCAGTTTCACTGTAATTAACTTTTCCAGAGTCAACATTATCATTTTATCCACTTGATATTCGTCGTTCATTGGTCTTTGCCCTGTTGATCTTGTCAGCTGCTACTCGCANTATCAACAAATTTGATTATTTATATGTCTATTTATATGTTATTGTTATATACATGTGTACCGTTATATATTTTTGTCATTGGTTTTGTTATTTATTATTTTACATTATATATTCATTTATATTTATTAGATTATGTGAGAAGCCAAGGACGTAGAACTATGTTCACGCTGCTTATAGGCCTATTTAGTGAGAATAGTCTGTGTGTTTTGGATTTTATGATTTGATTACAATCAGGATTTTTAATATTAAAGAGGATATAGAAGACAAAGTCTTTTTCCAACGTCAGGATTCCTTGACATTAGTTAATTAAATTTGGATATGCGGATTAACACGCATGACGGATCTGATTCCGAGATCGAGGAGACATTATTAAATTTCTTCTATTATTCATTTATATAAACATATATATAAATAAAAACTATACAAAGATGGAGTTACAAATGAATGAGACACAATGAATGCAACTTATAATCTATATGTCGAGAGAGAGAGCTCACAATTTCATATTAAAACATACAACCTGTTAGTTGTCTTTCTTTGCCTCTGTATGTGACGTATTTACTTCTCTCCGGAAGTTCTCTGCCTTCTATTCATGGAGAGATCCACTTAACTGACAATANCTGACATGTCTCTTGTAGTTAGCATTTCTAAAAGGATATTAGCATCCTGCACCATGTTGTATTTATTGTTTGTCATATTGAAAAATCTAAAAAATAAAAAATAGTCACAAATAATAATCTCAGTTACATCATTTGATAAAATACGTGTTATAAATAAATAAATTTAAAAAGTGTAAACATAGTAACTACACTGTGAAATATTAAAATTTGAATGCTGCTGTTGTTGTTACTAATATAATAATTGTAAAGATTATTGGTAAAGACTCATATTATGTATTTTAATGTAATACTGCTTATAAGTTCATAAATAATAGTTACAATGACAAAAAAAACACAAAACAATGGTTTTGAACTTTAGGCATTCTTCCCGAATTCAGTTGAACATCCAATATATTTTCTGATTGACGAATAATTATCAGTTGAGGCTTTATCCACGTGAACGGATGGGAGGGGGATGAAATGAGGGGTAAACAGTTCTTGTCGAAGCGAGATTTTTAGCAGATAAGGGGAAAGACAGAGGATGTTCATACTTCTGTGAAAGGAAGTGACTTTCTTAGCTGTTTTCCCACGCTAGAAAATGTTACTTTTCCATCAAAAAGGAAAGAATATTTTTTTAAATTAAATATTATAGACTCGGGGCTATTCGGATCTCACAATTATATTATTTTACCATATGACATGGCGCAACTTGGTCTATGTGGCCCTTGCGTCAATAAACCCTAATGTAACTAACTAACTAGTTAGAAGATCGTTGTGCACAGTAGTCCATAGGGCAGGGCCCGAGATGGAGCTCTGGTGACACGATGAACATAGTTGTAAGCGGCAGAGTACAGACCCTCCTGGCGATTCTCCAGGAAGCTACTGCAGATCGAGAAGAGATTCCATGGGCAATGATAAGACCAGAGCTGCCGAAAGATAGAAGGCCACCATAAATTGTCGAAAGCACCCTGAAAGTCAATTGAGATAAGCAGAGTGTGCTTACCTTCATATTTAGCATTCTGTATGTGCTCAACTATGGTAGAGAGAGCAGTGATATTCAACTTACCAGGGGTGAAACCATGCTGGTGCGAACTAAGGTGGTTTTTAGTTCTAAGATGACAAAGGATCCTACTGTTTATCAGCCTGTCAAGGACCTTCCCCAGGATGGGAAGGGGGCTGATAGGTCTGTAGTCCTTAGGATGAGTGGGGGTGTCACCCGGGTGCTTACTGATGAATTTAACCGAAGCAATTTTCCATTGGTATGGGAAATAACCCAGCAAGAGGCAGTGGTTAAACATAGTGACAAAAGTAGTTGGGATAGCAGCGTAGGCTTCCCTTACCATTTTCCCTGTGATTTGATCAATTCCTGGTGCCTTTTTGATTTTGACAAGATTAACTGCATGGGCAACTTCATTAAAAGTGAATGGTGGATCCTCCCGCTTGTCAGGCGGGTCTCTGAAGCCTGAGTGAGTATTGCGGTGAAATTCACTATCTGTGTCTTCAGTGTCTTCAGGGAAATGGTAGCTGAAAAGCTCTCTCATAGTTTCTGGAAGAGTATTCGTGAAGGTGCCATCACTCATTATGNTATACTATCAACACGAGATGTTTGCCCCACTATCATAGATCGTCTTTGTTGTTCTCTCACCATCGATCATGGAGTGGAAAGTGATAAGGGGGTTATATTTGGGTCGGTCCATTAGTTTAAATTAATATTTTGTAATTTGTTGGTAATATAGGTTTCTGTGCCGTTGTTTTCTATTTCAGCAAGATTTACTCTTCCCTTTCGTTCAGGCGTCTTTTTGCTTATTCCAACAGTCTTGAGTTTAATGGAACCTGTTTTGGTATTCCAAACTCTCACAAATCTTACAAGCGTTTGGCTTTCTTTTGTGTTCCAAATTAAATTCATCCATCCCATAACCAAATTTACTACTTGTGGACTTATTGATTTGTTTTTGTTTTAAATTTTCTTCAATTTTCAGGCTTATTTCATAAAATTCTACAAAAATTTTTTGTCTTAGTTAAGAAATATTCTGTCATTTCTCTGGGTAACCCTTCTATCATTAGCGGTATTATCTGGAAATCTTTCAATTGTGCTAACTTCCCTAAGGTGTTTTTTTCTTCAAAATAATTTTTCATTCTGATTTTTGGATCATATTTTAACCTTACGAAATCTACGATAGGCTCGTTGGCTTGTAATCCGAATCTTTCCACGAAAGTTTGTTTTAATTCTCTGCAACTCTGATTGTCTGTGTGTTCGATGTACGGATTTAGGGCTTCGTCTTCTAGGTAATTTCCCATTAACATTATTTCTGTTAAGATTGGTGGTTGTACAAGTTCATGAAAGGATGAAAAGTACAAGTAATACAAAACAAATGAAATTTATTCTTATAACAAAGAACAATAAAATCAAATTTTTACATAAAATAGAGTGACAGTACAATAATTATTTTGGATCCCAACTCAGACCTCTCACATGTACAAGGCAAAGATGAAAACGAAAACGGAGGACATGTGGCGTCATACAAATCGGAATGCGCTCGCGACGCATTCCGATTTGTATGACGCTATGGGAAACACTTCATAAATTACATAACTCTTAAAATTAACTTACGAACTAAGAAAATATGAGGATAGGATAGCGAGGTTATAGATATCTAGAAAGAGGTAGAATAAATGGGTACCCAGGACGTTGCTCCTCTAATGGAAATTCGAGTGGTTCCAGTCTGCTATTATGTTCTACAGGATCATCCGTCTATATATGTAGTTCAGAAATGATTCAAGGATTTTTTTCCTTCTTGTTCAAAGTGTATTAAATGTTCCTTAGAACGTATTCGTAGATAACTAATTAGCTTTCCCATTATGACTCAACTTTGCTCCTCTTCGCTCGTCGTCCACTTGTTCTCAAGTCCTTCTCCAGAATGACCTGTTTTCTCCTCCAGCATGCCTCCAGGTGCTTGTTCATTGTTTAGACCACATCTCATTCTTGGAACATTACTGGTTCTATTTGGCCAAGAAATAGAGGATTAAAATATATAGAAGTAAGAAAACAAAGAATACTAGGATGAAAGATTAATACTAGACTTATCAATAATAGCATATATACAATATTGTTGCCTACTGCCACATTTCGTCTTTTTTGCTTCATTACATGTATTCCGCCATCATTTCAAACCTTCTCACTCAATTCGCTGCCTTAATCGTGTCTCTATTTTCCGAAATGTTTGAATTTTTGGCTTACTTTTTGGGGATTGCGTATCCTTTTCTCTTATACTCATTCATTCTATGTAGTGTTTGTCGTCTTCGTAGGTAATCCTTATCTTTGGTTTCATCCTGTCGACATGTAAAGTTTCTTTCCTTCCATATTTTGATATCTGTCGTTTGCACGTGGTCCTTCCTTCTTGACTTTTTAGAAGCTTCTGTCTTGACCTGCTTTTGTTCCACACCTGCCCTATTGTTTTAATCGCTTCAGGTTTTTGAGGATTAACTACACCCTTACATGTATATCATTTGAAGAGGGACTATTCTGATAGTCCAAAATGCATGCTGGTTATTTCTTGTTAATTGCTAATGTAATTGATTTTAATGTACACCCCTTTTCGTTTTTATTGAATGTATTCCATTGATACTCGGGTGTTTGTGCTTATTGTCACTGGTGTGATAAGTCCTTATTATCTACCTCATGTTAGTTCTCTACCTCACATTCGTAGATTTTTATGTTGTTTTCGAAACCGTGTTTTGCGAATATATTGGACTTCGAACTCACATTTGAGTTATAAATAAACACTTGGCTTTATTTATAACTCAAATGTGAGTTCAAAGTCCAGTAGATTTTTAATTGATTTAAAATGTAATGGAACTGAAGTCCAAGCAAAGTTCTGTTCCATTTACTTTTCCTTTCTGTTTCTGCAATTCTCTGGACAGCTAATTTTACATACAATTGCTGTAATCGTAGTAGTAAAAAGACTTAACTTAACTCAAGTACTAGAAGAAACAAACAAAATGTCCATATTTTTAAGAAATAAATTACAATAAATTTGTGAAATGCATACAGGAATTTGAGAGATATTTGACACAATCAATACAAAATGGGAAAACCTTTACGCTTTGTTATACTCTCACTTTACATATGAAACTTGCTTTCTCTGTTTCGCTACGTTGTTTTTTGACGTTAGCATTATTCTTCGTGTAATTGTTGTTGCCAATTTCTTACTTTTCCTAATAGGATGTCTGTTCGGGTCTTGGGTATTTTCTTATTTAACATCTATGTTAATTTATTTCATTTTTCTTACTGTACTTCTTAACTATGTAGAAAGAAGACAACATATATTTTACACATTATTGTTTGCGAAAATATATTTCACTAACATGCAGCATTCCGAACTACATAAATTTCTACATTATTTGTCTGTTGTGAGAAGAGTACAGCATGTCTTTCATTGATTTTATGAAAACAGATACTTCAATTTTACTATATTAAGTAAAAATCAATTCAGTTTTCTACATGAATATACATGAATATAATTGGTTAACCAGCAGCCAAGTGGTTCAGTTCCCTGAACACTGGGACTTTGCTCATGAATTTATGCCTCGCCACTACAGGCTGGCCACGTGGAGCTTTCTAGGTTTTCCCCACATCTGTAATGCTTGAATAGGTGCCAGTTACTTTTAAAATGTCCTCCCAGAAGGCATCTTTCTAGGCAGATCGCCTAAGTATTGCATTGCCGTAACTTAATAAATTAATAAATAAAAATGAACATAATTACAATAAACAGAATTATACAATTTAAGTTTATTTTTTTATCATAGTTCATAATATAATAAGTAGAAATCAGCTAAAACTAATTATCAGTTGCGGGATTGCGCCTCGTGAGAAGACTGGTTGAGTATTTTATCGAGTTTTCTTAACAGGTTCAACACATGATTAGGTTAGTTTCTCATCAGTGGCGTGTTAGAGCTTCATGGAAGCCAGGCATATTTGAGTTAGGGATCCCATGTACAGTATAGTACAGTGTTGATTTCAAGGATTTTTTTAATGGGAAAGTTTTTGGTTGAATCTACTGATATTCTTGTTTGTTTTTTAATGCAACTTTCAAGTTCTGTATTGTGCCAGTGCACCCTACACCTGTGCCACACCGACACTGAAACATTTTCAGATATGGTCCGAGTTTAAACTTCGACAGTTTTACTACATTAATGATTTTATAAATGACGGTTTAGAGGCTCTCTGTTGGTATAGCCTCAGGCGATTGCTCTGTTTGCCCATAGGCTAATGTGCCACTATTTTTAGTACAAATCCTTCCGAGAGAGCTCTTCCCTTTGTGTCGTTACCGTATTCCATTTCTACTCCTTTATATTAAAAAGAGGAAGGGGTGCACTGGCACTAGTAATTGTTTTATATATCAAACATGGAAAATAAAAATAACAATTTCGCAACATTTTACACTTTTAATGATATGAAACTGTGCTTTGCAATTTGTTTCTGCTCCTAACACAATGAAGTGCTATAAATTAAGACACTTGGCGGGTTTCCTCATCTTTATTTAGTTGATACGTGTGAAAAAATTATACGTTGAGGAATAAAGATGAGGAAACCCGCCAAGTGTTTTAATTTTTAGCACTTCATTGTGTTAGGAGCAGGAACATTTTTCATGTTGACAGTTTTCCTTATTGAAAATCTTCTGAAGGAAAATTATTTTAAGTGTAAACAATTTCTTGCATTTTGTACGATAACTCATTTTTATAAAACTTGCTTTAATCTAAAAATTTTAAAACTTAATGAGAAAACTTGAAGATAATGAATTTAAAAACATTGTTTTTATCATTGACAATGTTGAAGTAAAACAAAAGTGGAATATCTCATACATTTGAACTTTTCATGGAGTATAGTTCTGTCGCACTCATATTTGTCCTTTTGCCATAACAGCGGCAAAAGACTCAGGACGTATGTAAAAATTGTGTACGTAGTATTAACAATGCCCTTGTAGGGCTGCTAGTTTGCTCCATGTGGACATTGTAGTACAGTGTTTCGTTTATATCTGCAATAATATGAATGTCTGTTTGCTTAGCATTTTGCTTGCTCTAACAATTATTTTATGTATCATTATACGTTGTCAGTCTGATGATTTGTCAGTTATCTGTATATGGGAAGTGCGTTAAGTTGTGGAGTGTTGTTTTTGTTAGTCATTAGTGTTAAGTTAATGATATTGAAATGATAAATAACTATCCTCACCTATAATAACTAGAATGATGTTTCAAGGCATTTTTGTCAAATTCTGGCTTCTCCAAAGTCATAGCAGAGTATTTGCAACAGTGGAGTTTCCACTGACAACCAACTCCAGCAATTTGGAGTACACTAATTTATTAAAAAGTAGGGTTGCTGACTACTACGTAATAGTTATTGCCAAGAATTTACCTTTCGAAAGAACTTTTAGAAAAGCTGGCTCCCATTCATATATTAACTTGTAAAGGAAACACGATGAACACTTGCACTTTTGATGCATACTATAATCATTAACTGGAAGATAATTGAAAACAATCTCCCAAACTTGAAACTTTACTGACCTGATTGAGGCATGGTTTCTGGTATATTCGTGCATGTGCTACAAGATAAACAAGATTTAGTTTTAATGAAAACAAAATATATTAAAATAGTGTTAACTTGTTAATACTTTTTTACTTTAAGTGTTCATTTCTCAATCCGCCTTTTAGCATATTATCTAGTAAGTCGAAATACTTCCAATTTGTTTTGTAAATTTCAGAAGTAGCTGCACCACTTCTTTTCGACTTATTTATATTGTTTTTTAACTTTGTGTATCTATCTTTCAAGTTTTTCCATTTTTTTATGGCTTCTTCAGCTAGAAAATATAACATTGTAAACGACTATATATAAAAGTTTCTATTAAAAATTTTATGTACTTACCTGAAATATTAAAAGCAGTTCCTATTGCTGTCCAATACGTGTGTTTAAAAGAAACATCTTTAAATTTCTTTTTGCTTTTGTCATATAGGAAAGGATAATTTTCGACCATTCCAATAAACGCTTCCATATCGAATGCCATATCTCCTCTGTTTCTTTCGTTAGTTTTCACAATGAATTTTGTTGAATCGTTTGCCATTAAAACACCATGTGATAGTATTTTCTCACGTTACTACCAGACGAACTGTTATTGGCTGATAGAAACGCGTCTTGGCGGCGGTTGCCGCAAAAGATAAAATTCAACCAACTTTTGTGGCACGAGAAAAGCGACACAAAATCAACTTCTGTGGTGAGAAAAAGTAACGTTATTTTGCCGCTTTTCCTTGCCGCGCCGCATGTGTGCATCCAGCTTAAGGGTTATAGAAAACTAGCAGTGAAAATTGTGAAGATGGACTCCAAATTAGAATTCTTAAAGGAGTGTTGGGTAAGAAGAATTTATATAATATAATAATAAAGTATAAATAATTATTTTGTCACACATATTATATGTATGCATTATGTGGCGTTCGTCGCACCACTTGATTATGTGTTCGCTGAGAATATATATAGAACCTGTAGTCATATATCTCATAGTTTGTTTTATTTACATAATGTACATAGAAATCTCGTTCTACAATATTGGTACAGTTGGTTAGGGTCCACGTGTTGGTACATGAGAGTAACCCGCGTCCGGAGAGTAGTCGACAAGTTGGGAAAAAGAAGTATGGCGGACGGCCTGCACATGCTTATATATCCGTCGCACCAGCGCCACCTGGATTTTCAGATGTAGCGCTAGTTACAATTATTAGGCCGCCACAATTATGTAAACACACTAGAATATTTGGATTTATTTGTAATTTATTTTATTATATTATAACTTTAAAATGTATCTTATCTGATTTGTGATGTTATTTATAATTATTTTCCAGTTTATACAGTATAATTTACCATATATAGGGTGATCGGAAAATATCTGGCCAAAATTTAAAGGCGGTTAGAGGGGACAAATATAAAAGGATTTGCAGTACAATGCTTGTTTGGAAACGCTGCATGAAGGTGGTAGAGGGCGCTGTGTAGGGTTTTGTTTTGGGCAAGGAGACTGTTAGTGCGTTGTTAGTCTTGGGAGTTTGATCCATTTTGGAGAGTTTGCAGGTGGGTTATCATTTGTTGTATTATTTCGTTTTGTGCCGTTATGGCTTGTCTGATTTTGGTTAATTGTTCAATCATAGAATCTTTTTGTGTGGGTGTCTTGAGTGTCGTGTGTAAGTTGAATGTTTGTAAGTTTTGCACTGTAGGGTTGTCGATTAGTTGGTGTTGGCTGAAGGGCTTTGTGTGCTTTTAGGTTTGAGCAATTGTGTTGATGTTGGTATTGTATAATGGTCTGGGCTTTAACAAATTCTGGGCATTTGGGGGAAGTGAATGGATGGTCCTTGGAGCAGTTAATGCGGGTTTGCTTTTCGGCTTGGCATTCGTTTCAGTTGTGGGGGAGATCGCATTGTTAGCATCTTTTGTTTCCCTTGCAATATGGTTGGGTGTGCCCAAATTTTGCACAGTTTAGGCAAAGTCTGGGGCATTCATAATATTCTTCAGTGCAGTATGAGGTGAAAAAGATGCAGAGTTTATCAGGAATGGAACTAGCAGCAATGTTTGTTTTGTGAAGAGCTAGGATTCGAACTGTAGATGTCGGTCCGATAGGCAATTGCAGGTGCTTCAAGCATTTCATCTTAAATTTGTTACCTTTTTACGGATATTCGACATTTAAACTGATGACTGAAGCAGGGTGAAATTGGATCTTCCTGGAATTTAAGGTGTCTCCTCTCCCCAAAGTGAAATGCACTAAGAGCACCCAAGATGGAAACTGACATTTGCAAAAGCTATCCCAGCTGAAAGTAGGTGCAACTTTCCTAATCTTATTCCTGACCACCCAGTCTTACAAGCATGAATACAAATGTTATAACGACTCTGCGCAGGAAAACTTATCATGGGGGCTTCCCCCTCCAACCAACCAAATCTCACTGGAAGTGGCCCCAAAGGACGCTGACAACTTTCCAAAAGACTATTGGTCTTGGAATTACGAACCAGATTCTGACGAACTCCTCAACTGTATTCAGGACCACTCCATTTTTTTGAACAACCCTAGTATTGCAGATTTCGCTGACTGTTATTTATGTAACTGAGGAAACTTAGCCATACAAAGATATCACAGTAATGTCACTAAATGAAAAGGTAAAAGTTCCGGTCAATATCAATGTTGTTTTTTCAGAGGTATGCCAGAAAACCTACAAAAATTTATAACATGAGATATCACTTTAAAAAATCCAGCAACGAGTTGCATAACTTTTTCGTGATGTATGATGTTGCCATTTTTTTCATATTTTATTTTTCAAATTTTTATTATTTTTACTATTATAAAATGGCAAAAAGCTAAATCTGAGGGAAAGGATCAGTTTTTGACGAATATTAAATGATGATAACGAGTAAAATCTTTATTAAAATAAAGTCAACCCTATACACATGACCTGCACTATCTCCTCCACCCTCTTGACGTTAATTACCAAAATTGAACCGCATAAATTTTTTTAATAAAGAAATATCTATACAGAATTTGAAAAGTATTCGGACAAAAACTACAGGAGTTAAGCTTCAAACACATTTAACAACATCGTGCCCAAACAGACACAAATCCACACGTATAGAAAAAATCCATCAAATTATTTTGCTTTTCTCGACTTTTTAAAGTGTCCTCACTTCAAAAATGTGAAAATATTAAAAGTTCATTTTTTCACCGATTACTGCACTTTCCTCTGTTATAAATAACAGACAGGAAAGTAATAACTTAATTAAAAGTTGGGTAAATAAGTTTGAAATGGACAAAAATTAGTAATTTCATCAAATTAATAACAACTAGTGACTGAGTATCTTACTGAAGTACTGAAGGAGGGTTATTTCTATGAAATTGCAAATTCATTGCGGTTAACAGCTAGACTCCGTGAAATTGAAACAGATTAAGAAGAGAATTTTGAAAAATCCTTAGTGTGCATTTTCATCACATAACCATAACTGTGCATTAAATTTTACCTCTTTAAATTCAGTGGTTTGCTCTGGGCAATGATGAATTAATCAGTCACATAATCAATCAGGACATGTAATTTTATATATTTAGATAGATTTATTATTATTCTGTTAAAACTACAATGAGATATTCTATGTTTAAAGAAGATAAATAAAAAACAAGTAGACAACTGCGGTTTTTGTGTAGATATTCTTCGAAAAAGTGTACAATAGAAAACTAAATACTTATGTTGAAGAACTTCTGTTTGTAACTTGACATATTTACTCTGACAAGTTTAGGGTAGTCAGAATTTAATATTTGTTGGGTAAGGCAAAGATTTGATGATGATGATAAATTTGAAACATACTGTATCAATACTACAAGTGTAGATGTTGAAAAATGTTTATGGAAATGTCTGTTGTCGACCATCCGTATGCTTCTCATTCATAAGCCAGAAGTGGTGGCTAAATCATTGTTACCTATTAAAAGACTACCAGAAGGAACTCGAGGAGCCAAAATATAAACCTTAAAATATACAGGAAAAACTTTTCGAGCAGAAGGAACTTCACCAAAACAAACAAAAACATTTAAAATCATCTATAGGCTGTAGTCGTCGAGCACTATAGTCCTTGTCCAGTCGAAGTTGTTGGATCCCAGTCATACACAGCAGATCTTCTTCGGTGCCATATGGAAAAAGCGTGAATTTCTCGATGTCGCTGACGTCACCCTTGCGAGGCTTTCTGGTGGCGTCCGTAGACATTCGCGGCTTTAGTACTCCCCTGCGAGTACTAACAATATCTTAAGTTGAAACGTACCTGTCATCTAGAGTGGGTTGTGACTGATGCTTTGGTTGCTTCAGGGCTCGTTGGTCGTGGGGTTTCCTTTTTTGTGTCGGTTGAGACGCATGTTGTAAGGTCAGTGACAAAAGCTGGTTTCAGACGGTCAATGGTGACAGTTGTTTCTTTGCTGTTAATGTTTATCCTGAATGCTGGAGTGTTCAAGTACTCGGAATGGGCCATCATATGGGGACTGCAAAGGTCTATGTGTGGTGTCGTGGCATACAAAGACGTGCGAGCAGGTCTGCAGATCGTGGAATATAAACGTTTGATGAGTGCCGTGATTATGCAGTGAAACAGGACGTAATTGTCGCATTCTGCAAGAGAGATCAGAGATGAAATTGGACATTTCTATCGTACTGTCATTGCTGGTTACAAAAAATTCACCACGCAGGCAAAGTGTTTGTCCATAAACTAGCTTGGCGGCGGTGGCGTCAATGTCGTCTTTGTAAGCGGTCTGGATTCCCTAGAGTACGATTGGCAGGTCGTCTGTCCAGCGATTGGAAGAGTGACACTTGATTGCTGCCTTGAGTTGCCAGTGGAATCTCTCGATTATTATGTTGGCAGCTGGATGAAAGACGGTGGTGTGGATCCTTGTCGTCCCTGTCAGCACTATCAGTGTTTTAAACAGGTGGGACTCGAATTGTCGTCCCTGGTCGGTTGTCAATCGTTGTGGAATGAGCAACTCAGCCATCGAAAAATGTGGTGGTGGTAGTGCTAGTGCTGCTGTTTTTTCAAAATTTTAAGCTAACAGTGTTTCAGGAGGAGGATTAACGTTAGCTTTTAAACCAAAAAAGTGATCTAATTGTTAATGGTATTCAAAAAGGAAGTTGACCACTTCCAGATTTTCTTCTCTGGTCTTTTCTCCTTCTATAAGTTAATATTAAATTTCGCCACTTTTGATCACATTCCACTGCTCCTGCGTTGATACCTTTTTTTTTTTCAATTTTAAACTGGCATCTCCCCATAGTTTTACTTTTTTGCAATTTGGTTTTTCAAATAGTGAGTCCATTTCTTGCCGAATTTCAATAAGCTTTTTTACCGAAAATGATGTCCAAACAGTTTCCTATGAAAAATGAAGTTTCATCAGCATATTTAAAATAGTTTTATAAAATTTACACTTTAACATTACTGTTACTAAGTAAAAAGGCTACTTAGACATGTTATTCAATAACAAAAATATAAAGAATATATATTTTAAATGAAACTAATACA